TTTCCTTGTGTCTGTTGCAAATCATCTTTTAAATCCAATTCAGCAGAGCTGCTGCTTCTTTGAACTAAGATCTTCAGACAAAAAGAAAGAACGCATTTGTTACAGGAAAGTTTTAATTTTTATAAGACTGTTAAATTTCTAGCCCACATTTCTAAAGAAAAAGAAACAATTATAATAGCAACAACAACAACAACAACAAAAAATGAATCCAGTTTTCCATTTGAAGGATATGTGTTCACAAATGACTATCAATGAATTATAAGTTACTCAAAATCTGAAATTTATGGCTTCTCCTTTGTCAACTGACATCCAATTAAACCAATCTACTGAGAAGGAATGCCAACTTATATGGATAATTTGATTTTAAAGTTCTATTTGCTCCTCTGAGCAAGCACACACATATAGTGAATGCAATTCTCCAAAAGGCCTAAGTTATACACGAATGGTAAGTGTGCTAGCAGGAAAGGCATAAACTCCACCCAGACTTCTCTAAAGGTTACTCAGTGCCTTCCTTGTTAAACGTGCAACAGATTTTCTTGAGTACTGCTCAACACTGGACCTTGTACTAAATATAGAGCACTAAAACATTTGGAGGCTATCTGCATCCTCTAAAATTTATGCCTTGCTTCGAGAGACAAAACATACACAAATTACACAAAATGATAACAAGGTACATAAGCAAAATATGCACATAAACTCTCTCTAAAAGGTATGCAGAATAAAGTGTTACCTTAATTGGCTCATAGTTACAGGACAGCTGTTCAAGAAGTCAACAGACATGAAGTGGTAGAGAGAAGGCAGGAGGGGATTCAAGGCAGGAAGCACTGAGTAGTAACCAGCAATTTCTATGTGCAGGAAAAGAAGCTGATTATAGCAGGCCATGCAGGGCAGACAGGTAAAGAGGAAAAAGAAAATGTATACTGCCTCCTAATCGAGGCAGCTGCCAGTGGGCCTTCAGCATCAGGTTTAGGAATTTCAACCCAATATTGACAAAATGAACAACTGTATTTTCCAGACAGTAGCTTGTTGTGATTAAAAAGATAACTAGAAAGAAAATCTGAGTAGTTATCTGTGGGACAGAATTAAGAAGAAAATTGCTATGGAACTGTTATGGTAATTCAGGAATAAGCTTGAAAGGCTTCTGATGGGAGAAAAAAAAATAAAATGCTGCAGAATGACAGAAAAGAGCTTATAATAAGCTGTAAATGACAGTGGAATAAAAATAAATGACAAAAGAATATGAATCTAGCAGACCATGAAAATGATGGTGATGAAGGAAGGAAGGAAAGATGATGGACAAAGGAACCTGAGAGAGATTCTGGTATTTTAATTTTCATCTTTGAGTTGCATATCCAAAAGGAATGTCCTATAAGTAGGCAACAAAAATCCAGGATTGTGAGACAGAGGATAGAGCCAGGAATGAAGATGTAAATTTAAGGTCCTCTAATATAGAATATATAAAAATCCTGTATTCAACTGGCCAGCTAAAAGGATGAATATTAAACAAGCAAACAAATGAGAAGGACTAAGATGTATAATTAAAAGACAGGATAATTATTAAGCGATAAAACAGAAGTCAGTCATAAATATTTAGAAGACTCACAGTATATGAAAAAATATTACACAGTCTTAAAGAAGGATGAAATATATCTAATGTAATAATGGTAATATATCCAGATATTTCCTTAATTGAAAAGCAGAATGTGGTCTTTTCTGCTTCTAACTGAGAAATGAAATGTCCTCCAACTACAGAACTAGATCTTACATAAAAATATAGATTACAATTTTGGACTCACAGAAAGTAAAATAAAACTCCAAGTGATCTACACACTGCCCTCTCCAAAACAAAAAACCAGAGAAGTGAAATGGGGCTATCCCAAGCATAAATCTATTATCATTGCCGGTGGCAAAAGAATGGAGATTCTAAGATTAAAGTAGCATTCCCTGCTTCCTGAAAGAAATAAATGCAAATATTGTCTTGGTGGAACTCCAGCACTTCAGACATCCAGGTTTTCTACAAATTAAGATTGACTATGTTGGAACTCAATCAACCATCACCATACACCAAAGGAAATAATAAATCACCATGCACAAGAGTCTCGAAAGCAACAAAATGGAATTTAGACCCTCTCTCAAGGACTTCAGATAATCAGACAAAGAATTTAGAATTGTAATGTGAATTTTTTAAAGGAATCAAAGATGAGAATCACAAAACTGAACAAGCAACAAGAGATTAGTTGAAATTACAGATATACTTGAAAAGAATCAACTTGAACTTTCAGAAGCAAAGGGTATGACTGTTAAAATAAAAAACTCAATGGAAGTATTAAACAGCAGATTACATGAGTCAAGAGAGTTATTAAACTGAATGAAAGAAAGAGCTAATGAATTACCTAGACTGTAACCAGAGGACCAAAGAGAATGAAAAATATGAAAAAGGCTTAACAGACATGGAAGACAGAATGAGAAGATATAAATATATTTCTACCCAGAATTCTAGAAGAAAAGAGCAGAGAGAACAAAAAAGAGGCAATATTGAAGAAATGATTACCAAGAATTTTCCAAAAACAATGGAAGATAGAATCCACAGATACTTGGCACATAGCATATACCAAAAAGGGCAAATATATAAACCAAAAGAAACTGCACCTAAATATACTGTAGGGCAAATGAAGAACAAGGACAAAGACCAACAAGGAACAACAAATATGATGACTGGAAGACTTCTCAACAGCAGCAATGAAAGAAAAATAGCTTCCACTAGAAGGGGGAGAAGAAGGGAGAAAAAAGTAGGTAATTACAGTAATTAAGACTCTTTGTAGTACTTTACAGAGAAACAAAGTAACCAATAAATTAAGATTAGAAGCACTAAAATAAAGCCTCAGACATCCAGGAAACAGCACATATGAGAGAGAGGTGGCATTTCAGATCAATGAAGGAAAAATGTATTCAACAAATGGGACCTAGCACAAGCAGTTATCCATTTCGGGAAAAAAAAATTGGATCCCTACCTCACTCCATACATAGGAATAAATTCCAGATGGAGGGAAAATTTAAATGAGTAGGGCAAAACTGAAACACTTATAAATATAAGGTAATATTTTTATCCCTGTGGAGTTGGTATTTTAAATTTTTCATAAAATCTAACCATAAAAATGTTCGATAATCAAGAATAGCAAAATTAAGAACATACGTTCATCAAAAGACACCATGCAGAAAGTGAAAATATAAGTTGCACATTGGAAGATATTTGCCAGAAACAACCAAAATAGGATCAGTATTCAGAGTATATAAAGAATTAGTATAAATTAAAGAGAAAATGACAAACAAATCAATAGGAAATGGTAAAGACATCATTAGACATTTCACAGATGAAACACACATGATCAGTGAACATATGGAAAGATTTTAAACTTTATTAGTTATCTGAAAAATACAAAAATGAGATTCCATTTTCACCCACTTGACTCATAACATTTTTTAAATCTGACAACAGCGAGTGCTGGTAAGAATATGGATGAATAGCAATTCTTTACATAATGCTGGCAGAAATATAAGTAGTGCAACCACCTTGAAAAACATACATTCTCTTGTAAAGAAGATCGTTATTCTATCCTGGGACTCACGAATTCTACTCCTAGATAGCCACCATAGAGAAAACCTTAAACATGTAAATCTTGAAATGCATACAAGAATGTACATCGCTGCATCTTTCATTAAAAAAAAATGAAAAGTCTAAATGTCCATCAACAAAAGAATGAAAATAAATTGTGGTATATTCACAGTGGAATATCATACAGTGGAGAAAACTTAATGAACTACAGCTGCATGTCATAATGTGGATGAATCTTAGAAATACATTAACCAGTGAATAAAGCAATACTGTCACTTTTATAAAGTTTAAAAATAAGAAAAACTAAAGGGTGTATTGTTTGGAGATTCATACACATAGAGCAAAACGACGGAGCAAAGCAAGGGCATGATAAACACAAAGCCAAGAAAATTCTGCTCTCTGAGGGGACAAGGAAGGAATTTACATGCCAAAGCAGTGCTACTAGAAATATTCTAGTTTTTAAGCTAAGTGGTAGGTTTGTGGGTGTTTATGTAATTGTTGGAACATACACATATAATACACATATACATACAGGCTATATATATATAGACTGGTATTTTCCTTTTTAAAAAATAAAGACAGAAGAAACTTTACACTGGTTATTTTCCAGGTAACGGAGAAGCTTTCTCTTTTTATTTTGAACACTTCTATAATGTTTGAGTTTTCTATGAATATGCACCACATTTTAAATAAATAAATAAACAGGAGTTATCTGCATAAATGAGTTATGAACTACTTTCAAATTTCTTCTTTATACTTTATATTTGTTTTTAAAAATGCTATTTTACATATTTTAAAAAAAAGAAACCATAACAGATCTTTGTAAACACTCCCTTATAGAGTAACTCATGTCAGATGGAGGCTACTACCTAAATGATGCCAAGAACAAGGAATCTGTATGTTTGAAAAGCAAGGATACCTGATTAAAATTTCAGGTGGCCACATACACATCCAGTGGTAAATTCCATTTCATGTTAATTTTTTTTTCTATTTTTGCAATGTGACTCTAAGTTTACATAAAAAGCAGGCAAGACTTTAAAAAGGTTTTAAGACTGTTTAGGCTTATGACCTGTCTAAATGGAAAAAAATTTTAAAAGAAAAGTATTACTGCCACTAATAAATTTATTGTGCTAATAACTTACATGTTTATTTTTAATGAGAAATTGATTTGGTTAGAAAATATCTTACTGTTATTCCTTCATGTTCATTCTTCACATGTCCTTTATTCTCTTGAAAAGGCTTAGGCTCTGAAGAACTCAAATTCTGTGCATTTTCTACCTTATGACCTAAAGATTTGGCAGAAAAAATCAACAGTTCAGATAGTAAAGTTGGAAAATAATTTTATATATAGGTAATTACTAAATTTAGATATTCTAAAATACATAAAAACAGGAGTCTGGCAAACTGGTAGCCGATGGTCAAGTCCACACTACAGATCTGGTCTCTTTGGTCCATAGGGAGCTTTTAGAGAGGATAGAATGCTACTCAGTGTGGCCAACAGATTCACTTAGCATATTATGTTAGCACAAGGGAGGGCAAAAAGACCTGTTCTGGGGGCCTTGGAGAAGGAATCTCAGAGAAGAGCTATCTGAGTTAGCCAGGTGAGCTGATGGGGAAAAGAAACCAGTGAGGTGGCTCAGTATTGCTCGAGAATAAAGACTAATGAGAGAAAGAACAAATCCAGAATCAGTAATATTACCACAAAGCCTGTAAACATTAAAAAAATCTTAAGTAGATTTTATAAATAATCTGGGACCAATAAATTTGAAAAAATACATGAGTTTAACAAATTCCTAGAAAAACTTAACAAAATTGAAACAAGAAAGGAAAATCTGAATAGTCTTATAATGATTTTAAAATTTGAAAACTCCAGGCACATGGTAGATTCTACCAAATATGTAAAGGAAAAAAAAAATCACAACAATCTTATATAAAACCTTTCAGAGAACAGAAAATCTTTAGGTAATACATTTCTCAAGTTATTTTTTTAATTGTATTTTAAGAGAATTTCCAAGAGGCAATACTTCTCTACTCATTTGATGAGGTTAGCATGACCCTGACATTAAGAACTGTGAAATAACTTGTAGATAAATAAGCTTAGTTTATTTCTTAATTAACTCACGAAACTAAACTAAATAAGTATATTCATTGACACCAGTTACAATTTAAACATGTGCTTTCATTGTAAAATGTTATTTACTGTTTATAGGTCAAATCATCTGCCTCTTTGCTTTCCAAACACTGTTGTTGCTGAATGTTGTTGGAGAAAGCATGTAAAGTAATGCTACTACAAGTTATTATTTTCAACCTCAGCAGAGTCCACAAGCTGCTAATAAAATTTTTCACAAGTCTGAGCAGCTTTCCATTCTCACTGTCAACTTTTGTGGCTCTTCCATATCTGCCTACTCCTGCCCTGCCTTCTACCAAACTTGCTGCTCTCCCTGACTTTGTGATGTAACATTCTCTGCCTCCTGCCTACTCTTGCCACTCTGGACTTCTTTCTAGTTCTCAAAAATATACACTGGAAAAAAACGGTACATATGTGTATATAATTTAGATAAATGTATTAAAAAAAATACTGAAAACATTTCATTGCCAGAAACCACATCCTTGCAATCAACTTAAAAAGTACATTCCCTTGAAATAAACAGAGTTAGAATATATGTAGAAAGCAATATGACGTGCAGCTTCTTCCCAGGCAAAATCTACAGTTCTACACTAATAACTGGAGCTCCTCCATACCGTGAGAAGACTCTGAGCACAGCAGCTCAGTGACATCAGGAGTGCTGCTGCTCCGAAAGATCTGCTGCTGCTGCTCTGCCACCAGGCAGCCGGAGTCAACTGCGGGTGCATTTTCTGACTGTTGACATTCTTCCACTTCTGTGGGCATTAACACAAAACATGCAGGGATGTATTTCAAGATTTAAAAAAATAAGTTCACTGCTTAAGACAACTGATTCTGAAAATGTAGTTTTAGATATTTTTTTTTTCACAATAACTGTGCAGTAAGATAATCTTTCTTCATTTACATCACAAAGTTTCCTATACTTGTTAATAGTAATATTCCACTCCCAAAATACATTTTTCTTTTAAGTTCTACAAAACATTTTCTTTTTAATTTAAGTGAAGAAAAAAATTAAAAGAAAAAGCCACAGAAATGGTTGGAATTTCTGGGGTGGGCATGCCCAGGAAAGAGAGATCCAGGAGCTACCTGGAACGGCTCATTTACACTGAAAGGGAGTAGAAAGTAGCATGTGCACGTGTGTGCCCACACCACACACAAACACATTCTAAAGGAAGATAAATGGAAGCATGGGAATTTCAAATCTATTGTTCCTTTTAACGGATATATGCACAACTGCCCCAAATAAAATACTATAATTATTTAATGGCTTATATCACCAAGTGCAATGTTCAATTAACCACTAACGTACAAAAATCCACTAGCCTTTTTAGAGAATCAGTACATATATGACATAAAACAGAAAACCACAGATGAGTACTGCCCACTGGATAATCTCGGCTAGCATGATTGCAAACTATATGCCCTTAGATAATGAAATCCCTCCTAGCTCATTTCTAAACTTTACGGTTCATTTTAACCCCCAAAGACAACCCGAGGCACTGGAAGATCATACTTTAAGTGGAAAGTATGATCTTTCTCTAGAATCTCAGCTTTGAAGTTACGTCATCTTTTGCCTAGGTTATTATAATAACCTCCTAACTAGTCACTGTCGCCCTTTTCTTGCCACCCTCATAACTATCCTCTATGTGGCCCCAGAGAGTTCTCTATGAAACAAAGATCTGATTACGCCACTTCTCTCCTGCCGAAGCCCATTACTGTACAGTCAAGCCCATGCTCCTCACAGTGAATACAGGGCTCTCCTTGATCTCGCCCCACAGACTTGATCCCCCCACAAGGAGCTCTTGCTTACTTTACTCTCCAGCAACCTTAGCCTATTTGGCACCTGCTGCTCTCCTCTCTTGTTGCTCATCCTCTATGCAAACCTCACATCTGTCCCCTTCTCCCTCCTTCCCATACTGCCTGGGCACTGGTCCTATAGGACTTGCCATGTGGTTTTGCATGTGAACCCCACCACTGCATCCCTCAGCAGACTCCACGCTACTCATGTAGTCATGAAACTTTACATCCAAATAACCCCATATTTTCCAAAATAATTAATTAGCTAGAGTTTTACTTCTTCTAAGAAGAGACTGATCAAAATTCTGTCTGTATTATCTTACCTGGCAGTGTCACCCAATTCCTCGCCTGAAATGAGACTCACTGCCAATGTGTCACTCTCTGGATAACCCTTTAATATGAGCCATAAAACAAAGCGCTGGTTCACCCTAAACGAGAAGTTGTCATGTAGGAAGATTCCAAATATGAGACAGGATTTCAACAAAGGACTGCTATTTTGTTTATACTATCTAAATAAAATTTCATTTAAAGTATTGATAAAAATTATAAGACCTCAAAACTATGAAATTTGTGTGATCCTTCACTTATAATTCAGGGTACTGGATCACAGTCTAAGTTTACATACTGATGGGAAGCTGAGTTTAGGGAGTAAGCAAAAGGAAGGCCAGGGTACGAGAGGCGACAGACTCATTAAAGCCTCGCCCTTCCAGGTTATCTTCACTCTTCTCTTGAATAGCCAGGCAATAATTGTCCAATTTCCCGCAGAGAAACAAAAGACCTACATACATATTTGTGATCTATCCACACATCCCCAAGCATGAACTAAGCCCTTTTCACAAGTCTACTTCTAGGCTCTTCAGTATTAGGCAACAGAAGCCAGATAATATTACCAGGCCACCCCTTCTGGCTATCTTATTTCATTGTTTATTCTAATTATGCAAGATACTGAAACTTCTGGGAAGTGTTTATATTTGTCAATGAACCTACTTGTTAATCTAATATCAGCAGAGGGAGCCCAAGAGCTTCCTAATTCTCTAAAAAATAATTGGCAAGTGCTAGTTTTTATGGATAGGGAGAAGAGTGGGTTTTATTCACTTAAACGTGATGCCAAAAACTGGTAGACTTTGGTTTCTGGGCTATAAGCAGAAACAAGAGCTTGGCCAACACTGGCAGCATCTTTTTAAAGATAAAGAACATCGCCATCTGGTGGGATGCAATACAGTCAGTCACAGCACCATGCCTTCCAAATTCAAGGTTCCCAGTGGCTCTCAACAGAACAGCAGGACGAAGAGCCTGCCATCACCAGCTGGTCTGCCTTCCCAATAGGCTGGTCTAACGCAGCTTTAAGGCTTTGTTTTTGTAAAACTGTTGGTAGGGGCTTCCCAGACGGAGAAAGTCCAAGCCTGTAGAAACCACCAGAAGTGGTGAGACTGGGACCATCCATGATGAAGATGGGAAAGAATAGGAGAATCACAATGTCAAATGTGCTGTGAGGGCTGTTGTGCTACTGGTGCCCTGAGCAATTCCTAAAATTAACTGATAAGTGATATAGTATGAAAAGAACTTAGAATTCTTCTTATCCCACAATTTAAACCCAATTTCCTGATTTGTAAGTGTACATTTCTTGGCCATTTCTCACACTTTGTACTAAGAATATACTCAATATATATTTTGTATAAATGAATAAATGAACACCAAAAACATTTTTTTGATATTTTTCCTTAAAAAAAACAAAAACAAAAAACAATTCTTGAGCTCCCTCTGCTGGCCTTTTATTTGTTAAGAAAGAGCAACTAGTGTTAACGCTCCCATTCTACAGTGTCATAGGGGTTACTCTTTCATAGCAAATGTAAAACCATTTTAACACTGATATGCAAATATCAAGATACAGGATTAACTGATATTCAAAATAGTTAAAAAGAACAATCTAAGTTATATAAAAATTACATCATAAATTCCGGGAGGTCTAATGCATTCTGTTCTGAATAGCACTCAATTTCTTTGGCTTACTTCAAAGAGCTAATTTCTACCTTAGTTTCAGTACATCATTCACTTTCTCTCAAGCATAACTAATTCAATAATCCAAACTTTAAACACACTAACATTCTAGCTTCTTGATAGTGTAAGTTATACAGCATCATTACTAAATCATTGCTTTCTAAAACTCTACTCAAAGCACCAGAAAAATGATCAAGTAAGGATTACTTAATTTCATTTTTCCCCACTAAGACTCAGCATGATTAAATTAAGTGTATAAAGTCTTCAGAAACTTCTATTTATTCCAGATGTCTGACTATTTTTCAAAACAATTTCTCTCATTCTTTACTTAGTCTAAGGCTTCCTTAATCAACCTTTTTAAATGGAGTGAGGCTCATTCTTCAATTACCAAAATTCTGGGTTCCATTTACCACTCATAGAAAGTTGCATAAGCAAAATTAGTAGTAATTTCCTAACTTTAAAACGATTGTGCACAATACCAACTTGACCCTACAAAAATCACAAGAGATGTAAACCAACTCAGCATCTTGAAGTTTCCCACAAGGTCCAAAGGTGAATCAGCCCAGACCCTGACAAATACTTCCTGACAATTGGGAAGTGCTACCTGGAAGCCAGAGAATCAGATGCAGAAGCAGCTAAGTGAGACTTTCAGTTAGGTTCCATTAAGTCTCTTTTAGAATGAGGGAAGATCACCAATCTTCTAATTATTACTACTACAATGTTCCTAAAAGAAAAATAAAATCTACCATCTGCATGGCCTGTAAGCAATACAGACTGGCAAATATCCTCAAATAAAAGCAGTTAAAATTGCAAAATAGCTGGAAAGAACTATTCCCACAAAGGAGAAAAAGAGAAATCACTGAAACTGCCAGTTCTACTTCCTACATGATTATGTAGCTATTTATATTAATGGACTACTGGTGGTTGTGACTTTCCCCAAATTCTGCTGCCACCAAATAGAGTCACAAAGGGATCAGAAGGTAAGTAATGTTCTATTGTTTATATTACTAACAAAATTTGGTGGGTTGAATAGTCATATAGATTAAAAACAAAAACAAAAAATGTTAAATGAAACTAAATTAGCAATCATATTTATTAGTAAAGAACTTGTGGCCAGAAAGTCAACATTGAAAGTGTCTGCATATTATGTATAGGTAGATGTACACCTAGCTAGATCTATATTTAGGAACAAGTTAGCAAGATATGCCAACATAGTAGGATTTAATAATCCTACAAATTTAATAATCTAGTATGTCAAACTGTGGAGAATGTACAATCTAAGACTGAAGACTGATATGCCTCACTCTTGGGCCCAGTCTCTTGATAAGACAGTCACAAAGGACAATGCCATCACTTTAATAGTAAAGAATAAATGGCATCAGACTAAGGCAGAGCTCGCTACTATAGTTGTCAAATGAAAGAGAAAGAACAAACAGCAGATTGTTCTCAAAGTCACTATATTGCTAAGTCCCTTTAGCCCTTGTGCTATAAAATCAGAAATAAGGATGGCAAAGGCAGGAAAACACAGACCCAGCATGGCCTGCTTCATTTTACTCTTAATCAGGATCTCTCAATCTCAGCATTAATGATATTTTGGGTCACATAATTCTTTGTGGTGCAGGTTGTGCTGTGCATCATAGGATGTTTAGCAGCATCCTCCCACCCACTGGATGCCAGTGGCACTATCCCAGTTGTGATTATGAAAAATGTCTCTAGACATTGCCAAATGTTCTCTGGGGGGTAAAACTGTCCCCAGTTGAGAACCACTGCTCTAAATCATATCCAACTTCTGTTGAAACTGTGTACATATATATGAGAATCAAGAATCTGAGTAAACTAAAATATAATCCTGAATGAGAGAAAAGCTTCCAAAATGAGATTATTAACAAAAAGATATTTCTTATAAGAACATATTCCGAACAAACTAGTAAAAACTTAAAACTTCAAACCACAAAAAAATTCCTTTTGGGTGTCTATCAGCCAAATAGAAAGCAAAAATATTTAAAATATTTTATTAATCATCTTTAGGCAGTAGTATTTTTTTTTTAAATCAAATCATTAAGCAGTTAATGGGCATCAGTAATTTAAGTGACTGGTGCCATTTTCCCATGTACCATTTTTACTGTTTTTCACCTAGGAAAAAAAGTTTTCTAAGAACCATAGACTTTTAATAAAACTATCTTCTTCACTCATATTCTATAAATTAAAAAATATTATATTTTATGTATTCTAGGGGAATTAAGCTTTAATTTTTCTTTGCTAAACGATAGTATGACATAATTTAGTGATACAGAAAGCCACAATTAGGCTATTGCCAATATTAAATAAATACTAATTTATAATGCCATCTTTCTGAATATAAAGAACATGAAAACATTTTTCTCTTTAGTTAGAAGATTCAGTTTGTCTTAGAATCATTGGGAAAAAAGTAGAATTAGACCTAACTATTCACTGTAGAGCAAAGTATATCCTTTTGTTTAGGTTTCTATGCCAAAAATCATTTTTGGTGCTCGGAAGTCTTAATAAACCACAAAACACACTGTGTGTAAACCACATGTATCCAAACTCAATTTCAATTGGCTGAAGCCCAGGAACAATGTTTGTCTGGAAAATTAATACTCTTTAGTATTTTTTAAACTCAAATCTCAATAATCAGTATACATCTGCATAAACTCAAATTTTTTAAACTCAAATCTCAATAATCAGTATACATCTGCATAAACCGATTACTTTATACATTATTATGATTTATTAACTCCAAGGAAGCCTTGCCTGCATAATTTTTCCAGTTTATTTATTTTGGGGGAGGCACAGTAAGCATTCTAACACTGACATGCTGTAAAATTTTATGAAAATCTCCTTCCTTTCTTTAGGCACTGTATAGAAGGTACCCTGAGGCAGACATCACTGTTTTCCCTATTAAAATCTACGGGCCAAAAACTCCTCTTATCCTTAACTGGAAATGTAAAGATCAGTGGTGTTACAGAATCTTTTCTTGACTAAGTGCTACTCAATGTCTAACTACATAGAAACGATTATTAATATTCATTGAAAATAAACACAAAGTGCAATGCCCAAGCACTCATGCGTAATGTGGGGATTTTAACAAAGGAAGCAAGGCCCAGAGGCAAGCAGAAGCCCAGAGACATTCACAGACACGTGAGACAGCATTACAGTACCTGACAGCCTGTGAGAGCAAGAGGAGTAAGAAAGACCAGGTAAGAGAGCGCTCATGGTGTGAAGGAGGAGCGGGACGCTTTTAGTGGCAGGCAAAGCCTCAGAAAGGTGGACACAGTTGCTGATAGACTGGCTTCGCTTAGCTTCCAGGAGAGATAAAGTAATAATTATGTCAGAATAACATCAGGATCTTTCACTTATTTATTATTATTATTTGTATTTTCTGGGCTCTCTTTAAATATTTGAAGAAGGTCATTTTAAACTTTAAAGGCAGTCGGTACAAAGCACAGTATTTAATCATAGTTTCTAAATACAGCCAACTCTCAGTCATTCTGATGATATGGGAGAATGAATGGACAATCCACAAGTAATCTTATTTTAGAATGTTTTTATATTTAGGCTTTCCTTGTTTTCTGCTGTGTATCAGATTTGCATTTGGGCTGTTTATTTGAGCAGACATTAAAATCATTTTTCCTGTCCTAAAGGACACAAACAAAAAAAACCACAGTGAGGGAGTAAAAATACAGTCTAAGATTAAAATTGTTCTATAAATAATAATTCAAAAATTGGTTTACTGAGAGCTGACTGTATTCAAAAGCAAATCATTTAGCAAATTAAATATCCTAAAAACTTAAGAACACATAAAAGTCAAGTCGAACATTAAAAGATTTGATAAATGGAAAAAAGATAAAAATCTCCATGAAACTCACCCTTTTATATCACATTTCATGCTTATTAAATCCGTAATTTCCTATTATGAACTTTATAGTGTTCTTAAGTTTTTTATATGTTGCTAATCAAATGACCATTTGAGAAAATAGATGGACACAGGAAGAGAATGTGCCTCATGTATATGAAACCACCATCAGTAAAATCAGTTTTATCCTTGAAACAGAAATATAAAGGTTTACTTGCTATTTTATTATCTTTATGTGATTTTGACACTAATGAAATAGAACTATAAACAGTAGTGACACATTTGTAAAAGTATAACAAACTTTTTACTTTCCTCTTTCCCCCTTCCTTTGGCCATCAGTACTCCTCATTCTAATTCCCATTCTAAAAGACTACCTGCAATGCAATTACACTATCATTCACAGGCATGTAAAATAATATTTAAGTGAAAATGACTTCCATGTAAACATTAAACTGATTTAAAAGATTTGTTCATCTCTCAATGTCAGAGACATTTTATTTCAGCATTGTTTTAAAAAGTTTTCCTTTTATAAATAAAATAATTGCGTTTTCCCAAAATCACTGGTTATTTTAGATATAATTATAGAATAATTATTTTGTGTGGAAATTGACTTGTTTTAATCACTCATTTTATACATCTAAAATTTCAGCATAATTCACACTCAGGGACAAAGTTTTACTTTATAACTCTTTAAGACTCTCCTTGACAGTCCTTTTAAGTTGCAAACTAGTGTATTCTCTGTTAAACTGTCATTTCCCTACCCTGCAATTGTTTATTTTATATCTCCCTCTTGCCACCATCACAGACATTTTCTCAAACTAAGTGTAGTCTGTGAGGCAAATCAAAATAAAATAATCTTAAATTATTCTCTTACTGGGATTGGGGAAAAGTCACTTTCAAATGGGTCTTCCATAATAAATATCTTAATGCTAAAAGTAGCAAAAACTAACTTCATGATCTGCTTGCTCTCTCATTAAAAGATGGCCTATACACAAATCAAAATCTACCATGAAAACATTCTAGGCCTTTTTAAAGGACAAAAAGGTGAATTATTACATAATGTAAAAATAATAGAACTGAGGAAAATCACTAATATTTAGTTTTTATAGATTAATTTTATAAAACATCATGATATAATAAATTCTTGAGAGACCACTGCTTTCACAGGCAACAAAAAAGATTCATAATATTTTATAATGAATACATACATATATATATGTAAAATATACAAAGATAATAGATCTAACCAACTCAATAGCTCTCATCTCCATTATATTTTACAGGTTATGGTTTCAAGTGTTTTTTAATTTAATTAATCCCACAAAGACCAGGTTTATGGTTTTTAAGTGTCATATTCTACAAATATTTTTACATGATTTTGTAAAAGTTTTTATACTATGGATTTTCAGACACCTGAGGACACTAACAAACAGAACCTCACTGGCATAAATGTGCTAAGGATTTTCTAAAACGTACTGGTGTCTCTACCATGTTGTTGGTCTAAAATATCTGTTGAAAAACTAAGATGCAATCTCTTCTACAGCTGTGTTTTAGCCAAGTAGTAGCATATGAAACATGCCAGATCCAATAATTTGCTGCTCATTAAAATGTGAGAAAAAAGTTTTAAGAAGTGTTTTGAATGATCGGTTTTATTATCATAGTAATTCAAGGGTTGTGAGGGACAGCAGAAAGTCTGAGCAGCTCAGGCAGGATGCTACCTTTATCATAAACTTCTATTCTGATCTCTTTCTTTTAAAGATCCAGAGATGGAAGAAAGCAGTTTTGGGGAGTTGGGATGAGATAGGAAATCAGTGAATAAGCCTCCCTAAAAGTTGCCTCTTAATCAGGAACAGGGTCTTTCCTCAGGGAAGAGGAAGCAGGAAAGCAGGAAGAAGTAGAATAGGAGGTGAATGTAAATAAGGTGATAATTACCAACAAATGCTATAGAAAAAAAGCATGAGACAGTTAGGGTTAAGGTATAATATATTTTCATAAAACTCCAACAGGATTCTAAGTCACCTTTACTAAGCTCTGTAAAATATGTTGTATAAATAAATCTTTGATTTATGACCAGAGGATATTTTGACTTTCTGTAGTCAACATGCTGAATATCAATTACAATTGCATTGTATTATTGATGCAAAAAGCTAGAGAAAACTCAGATAAATTTGTTTTAAACTTAAGTTATGGCCTCAAAAACACTGGGTGGGGGGCTTTATATGTTCTTATTAAATACTGGATATAAGCTTACCTTTTAAAGATTTCTCTTTTTGTTTTAAGAGAAAAGTGTAGCAAAGCAGTCTGACTAACTAGGGGTTCTTGGTCAAGTTTCTGTTAATTTTAACAGGCTGTAAGGACATCATCTATAGGTATGTAAAGCTCAATTTTCCAAAGGTGTAAAAATTTAAATGTCTCCATCTAGTCCTGAAAACTAAATATACTATTCCCCTTTTCCTTGCTGGAACAAGTTGCCACATGCTCTCAAGATTATTATGTCCAACAACAACAATGATGCAACTAGTTGTGTGATTACTAAGAATCTATTTCCTCAAGGTTCAAAGAAAACACCTATATTCTCTTTTTACACAAACATCTCTCACAATATTAACACCTCAAGTTCTTTTTTCACAATGAAAGATTTAGAAATAAATATCAAAAACTACAATTTGAAAAGTAACCAGAATAAAAGTTAAATGATATTGAGACAATTTAATAAAAGTTCTAGTATTTAAGTTCTGAGTCTGATTTTAAAACTTTTACATTTTATTCCTATAAATCCATTTTAGATAGCAACTAAACCTTTGGGAAATATTTGAATAAATGCTTACCAGTTGCTTTTTGGCGAACGATATTTCTTGCTTTCTCAACTCCTGGTGCCCCAGATGTGGTGGCACTCCTAAATCGCATTGGCTCAGTCACATCTGGGTGGCTCCGCCAGCTAAGAGAAAAGGATCTCCCCACAGTGGTTCCTTTCTGAGAATCTAGAACACAGCCTGATAAATGATAAAACAAGAAAAAGAATCTAAAGGCTGAATTTGTTATTATTCATTTCATAGCCTGTTGCTCGGCAAATTTCATACCCACGATTATATATAATCAGCAGTTTCTCTTGTTGCAAATTAGGTACCACTTCCTTATATTGTAATTTAGGAAGTTATCTAAAAATTCCTATTGCTAAAGTATTTTTCAAGCATCTCCAACAGTCTCATTAAAATTATATTTTCATAGTAGTCACTCTAATGTAAAAAAATTAATGCACTTTTCTCAATATAAGCACAATGTCAAATGAAGTTATACCACTGCTCCTGGAACACCCCAAAACTACTTTTATAAGCCAGAATATTAGAGATCCTGATTTTAGAACAATATTCCATCCTGTAGGCAGCAACCTCTCCATGAATTCCCAAGAGACATATATGCCTATATATTATAAGTAGAGTCAGTCGAATGAGCAAGAAAAATGAAAATCTACAAATTATATATCCTATTTTAGTGAAGCTACAAAACAATAAAATATTACAGCTCTGCTATTCAACTTCTCTTCTTTCCTCTCATATTTCTCTGGTCAAATATTTCAATGAGTAGTCAAGGATCCAAAAGAAATACAGGAAAAAAAGAGAATGAGACACTAAGAAATTTCTGCATCGATATATATGGCCAGTGGCTGCCACTGGCGGCTTGTTTTCATACCCAGGTTCCTCTGAGAGTGTATTTTGTTTCCATAAGTCCAGTGCTTAAAAGGCAAGTATTTCTACAATGAATATTTAAATGTTTTTAGAATAAAGCAATATTATAAATAAATCAGAAATATGTGCCATAGTCATTAATTAAATTTTTTCTGTATTCTGAAAATAGTGTTTTTGATGTTGTTTACCTTTCTAAGACAAGCTTATTTTTTTCCATGATTCTATGTGTTCAAACAGTGGGAAAGAAGAGAATATTGTGGGGGCTGGTGGAGAGGGGAGATTACAAAAATTTTAAGAGACAGGGAATGTGCTTAATTTGAGAAAATCCTTACCTCCTGTCTCAGCAACTTCTCTCATTCTTAAAGGCACCCCTAGTAAGGTAGACTCTCTTCTGGGCTAAGAACCAAAGTCTTAGGGAGCCAAGTTCCTGGCTAGGAGATCCTCTTAAATTCTGGGTTGACACAGAGTCCCTCACAACTGCTACAGAGGATGAGACAGAAGGCCAAGGGCCCAGGCTCTTGGTTTCATGCCCCTACTTCAATCCCAAATCTTTGGTTTAATATACTTTTTAGGAAGGGCTCCTTACAGCTTCAAATGGGGGAAAAAAAGGATCTGCTGCTAAAATATGTTAGAAAATCATTATATTAGACAGTCTAAATCTAATCTGGGATTAAACTGTTCCACTAGAATGCTATGTACTTAAACTACTTTGTTTTGGCTTCTTCCTAACTTGCTTTTACTAACTGGTGCTTTGGCAAGCCATTCACAGACTGCAATTACAAGAATCAGTCATGTTAATTACATGTCTCTATGGTTAATTAAACATCATAATTGGTTCACACCTCCCAGTATACATATCTTCTTTTGTCTTTTCTCACAGTGACTCTGGGCTTCAACATGTGACTTACTTTGGTAGCAAAACTGAGCAAATACATATTTGAAATGTACTTGAAAATTTGGGCTTGCCAACTATCTGCTCCTGGAACTCTGAGCTTTTACACAAACAATCTCAACTAGAATGCTGGATGATGAAAGATATATGGCCCAGTTACTCCTATTTGCCCCAGCTCACAGCTAGCCAACCCCTAGAAGTAGAGTTGCCTAGATGATGATTCCATAGTCTAGCTGGCTGCAAAAAAATAAGTGAATCCAGCAGAAAAACTGTCCAACTGAGTCCAACCCAAATGTCAATACATAACATCATGATTTAAAGAAATGATCATTAGTTTAAGCCACTGTATTTGGGGGTGATTTGTCACACAGCAAAAGCTAAATGACACAATTTATAATAAGGCTACTGTTGAAGTTGTAGTCTACCACAGCAAGCAATGTACCCTTTATGAGTTGTTGAAGAAATTTCTACCAGGTCTTAGAGAAAGCTATGTATCACTAAGCAAGTGGACCGTTTTTACCTTTTGTACTTGGTGATTCGCTGATGAAGATAAGAGTCAAATCCAAGGTTGCCCCATTCCTACCTCCCTGGCAAGCACATGAGGGAGGGGCTCTGGAATGCATTTTGGCATTTTGACCATTCTTGTAGCTCAAATCCCCTTCATTTTGCCCCAATGTCTTTATGTCTTTTATCTATTGTATTATACGTATTTCCACAAGCTGACTCAAATCTTTATATAGTACACTGGAGTACAAGTGAATTAATCCAAGGACTGTGTCACACCCTTAAAAACAGTAATGAATATAGGGGCTGCCAAAATGTTATTCCCAAAGAAACCTCTACTGAAGTTTTCCACCCTGATCTGACTCTAAGTCTCAAAACTGTTTTTACCAAGAAACATAAAGCCAAAATGACTCCCATCTGAGGCAATCAGATTTTTTCCACCTTTCCTAGGGAGGCAGTACGATATGTTTTAATAGTGTGGCATCTTGAGTTGGACTTGCTTGGCTTTGATTTCTGGCTTTATCGCTTCTTAGCTATGTGATCCTGAATGAGTCTGTGGACTCCGATTTTCAGTTGCTTTGAGATATATGGATAGTAATGTCTACTTCACAGGGACAATGAGGATGAAGAGAGAGAATATGTACAAAGCACTAGCCATTATTATTATTGTTTTTACTGCTACTACTTCCCTTTATCTTCCTTCTTCTTCTACAGCTTCTTCATAAATTCATCATCCTCATTAAATGGACAGAGTGCTATGAGATACAACCTAATGCCACCATTAAGGACACTGACTGTATGGCTGGTTCAGTTTATTATGAAATTTCACGCATTAATTGTTTAGGTGTATAAATACACACTGCTTCTCTGATGTCTCAGATATCTGGTCCTGCTCTCGAAGAGTGGAAATACCTTTGCCTCGTTGTTTCTTTTCCTTTTGTTCACTTAATTTGTCCAGAGGTAGGTTTGTCATCTCAACTCCATAAACAGTTTTCGCAAGCACAGCTGTCAAGGAGTCCATGATGTTGGCCCACTCGTTTATGAGTTCCTCCCACTCTGTGAGAGAGGACAGCACACCAAGGAAGTCGTCCCAGAGCTCTCGAGAAATGTACACACAGAGGTTTGCTCGGATCCAAGCCACAATGAGCGTCTAGAACCAACCGAACAAGAGAATTCATCATCTCCTTTGGAAGAAGTATAATTTTTAACAAAATATTTTAAATTACTATTAACAAAATTAATTTTAAAATAAAAAGTGCTTTTGGATATTGTTTTTCTTTTAATTTTTCAAAATTCTGATCATTGCAATCAGGATTTGAGCAACTGTGAAGTTAGTTATCATTATGACCAAAGCTACTGATTCGAAATTATTCTAGTTCAGTGGCTGGTCCTGGCATAACTGGGTTGGAAGACAAAGCTCTCAGTACAATAACTATTCTGTTTCCTGAGACACTCTTTACAGTGGCTACTTCAAATCTCCTCTTCTATATGTAAACCTCCAACTCTTCCCTGGATTTTAGCAGATGAATTCACTGCAGACTTCAGAGAAAACAGAACCTATTAAACAAGAATGCCCTCAACCTCTGCCCACAAGACCCACGCATTCACCCAGCTTCTTCTCTACCTGCAGGCTCTAAGTGAAGAGGGGCTCCTGCTCTTCTACACTTGTCTCTACCTCTGTTCTGGATCTTTTCCTCAGTCTTTGATTCCATTAACCCCTCCTCTCCTTTATCTCCAATCCATCCTACTTCCCCAGCTCCTCCCATCAGCTTTTAAACATGTTCCAATTCTTCCTCATCCTATTAAAAAAAAAAATCAAAAAAGTTCGCTTAAACCAAGATTCCTAGCTAGAGCCCCTTTTCTTCTCTTTTCAAAGTCAAATTTCTTGAAAGAATGTTCCACACTCACTCCACCTGCACTTCCTCATCTCCCAGTCAACCAACTGCTCTGGCTTTCTTCCTCCTATGCTACTCCATCTTCTGTCTGGGTTTTGGTCTCCATTCTCATGGCTCCAGTTAACATCTGTGTACTACTGAATTCTGAATTTCCATGTTCAGCCCAGACCTCTTTGCTGGTTTCCTGACCTAGGTATCTGATTACTAGATAGCTCCACTTGCATGTTCTATAGGCACTTATAATACAGCATTAATAGTAAAAAGAATCCAATTTCTTCCATTGAAATTCTTCTAATTCCTTGACCTGGTTTCTCCTGTTCCTTCCTTCTCTTCTCTCCCTTTTGCCTCTTTAACTCCCACTCATTCTTCAGGTCACGACTTGGACATCACTTCCTCCAAGGTGTCCCTGGACTGCCACCCCACTTCCAGCTTCCAGTATGTAGCCCTCAGTTCCTACAGTTCTCAGCATTTCCCCAAATAGAGACTTTATCACTCCTTTCCTAAAGAGTCTATTCACTTCTCTGTGTCTCTCCTCTAGTCTTAGGATCCACAGCACTGGAACTGGTCACATGGAAAATCTTACAAGATAATTATACACATATTCTGGATATTTCCTTACCTTGAAATTGCCCAGTTCCTCATCTCTGCCAAAATATTTCACATCCTTTAAAATTCAAATCAAAATTTATCTTCCTTGAAAGAAGTGCCAAGTCCATCTCAGATAAGACCCAGATGCTTTCCTAATTTTAGTAGAGGAATCTTTATATCCCAAACTTGTATAACTTCCCTGCTCTGTTGTCAGAGCTAAATGTACTTGTTGAGGTGCCAACTTGCAAATATTTCTGCCCAACCCAGTAGCAAATAAGCTCCCACTGTTATTGGGAGTTGTGTTATATGTGGAATAGGGGTAAATGTGCTTTTTTAATTAAAAGAGAAAATTTTATTTAACACACACATAGGGAAACTCTGAGAAACAGAAAAGTCTGAATTAGACAGGCCTGTTCTGATCACTTGAAAAATCTCATTTAAAGTGATCCTTACACAATGTACCTTTTGCCTATGTTTCGATTCATGTTTATTACACTTTTTAAAGGGGTAAAAATGTTAACGTTGACATAAACTAGTTAAGTATATTGAAAACAACGTTTTAAACACTTGCACTTAAAATATGATTCTAAGATGAATGAATTTTTTAAAAATTAAGAACAATGCAAAATAAAAAGTTAATAATTTTATTATTAGTACTTTATTATATAATTACATATTTTTATGATGACTAAAATGCTAGCTTCTGTTTGTTCATTTCTTACTCTCCTGTTTTCAAAATGAGTTTGAGGCCATTACCACAAAGAGCCTATACACAATAAAATTCGCAGTTGTTTTGGTGTAGTAAGATGCCCTAAATTGAGAATCTAGCATTGGCTTCACTTTATTGACTAATTATAAATCAAGGAACAAACAATGACTTCCTGCAGCTTACAAAATTCAGCTTTGCAAATCTCACAAACATGTACACAAAACTATTGAATCATCATCATCATTCACAACTAACAGCATTTCCACACAGAGCAAAATCACAAAATATGGTCAAGGGGTGACAAGTGGCACCTTTGGAGAAGGCAAGGGCACCCCTTTAACAAGTTACCCGTTTTTGAGAGGAAGAAGGAAAGAGAGCCCCAGACTCGGGGTTCTGTCACTATCTTGAATTGCGACCTGGACAATTTACTTGTGTTTTCTGGAGTTATATTTCTCGTTAAAAAAAAAAAAAGTTGGAGAAGACCATCTCCCAGATTCCATAGCACTGAAATTCATGTTTCATCAAATACATCTTGGCATACAAGCTGTATTTTTTTTAAAAAAAACACCTTCACTCGCAAATCACTACAGTTTTAAAGTAATGGTTCATACTATGAATAAAAGGACCATAGTCCAAATTTCCTGATATACTTTCAGAGCTTCAAGCATAAGGTCACAGCACTGATGACAGATTAAAACATCATTTAGAGCAATCACTATTATTTGGTAAATATTTAAAACTGCAAAACTCAACTATCTCCTTATTTAATAGTTTCCTTATTCAAATTAAAAAAAAAATAAGTACTTGGCAATTGTAGACAGTCTATGTGACCAAATGAATTATAATTAGATAGCACATTTTAATTTTAGTATGGGACGAAGATGATGCCCACTTAATTGCCTGGCAGTTCATCCAGACCTTTCACATTTTTCTCTCCCCCTGGATCTCACAAAAGCACTTGGGGGATCAACAGATAATCATACATACCAAATGAATCCACTTTCATTTTTATGACAATGTTGCAAGATAGGAAGGAATTCTTTCCTGACTGGGACAGATTAGGGAAGAGACTTTGAAATGATTTGTTCAAGGCCACATAGCTAGAAGTACCAGAGCTGGGGACAGAACCCAGAATCCATCTAACTCCCAAAAGCTCATCTTCTCTCCATTATTTTATGGTTAGTTCTTAATTTAAGCATTCTTCTTGATCCATCTAACCATTGACAAAATAATAACTACAAGGACAACATCAAAATCATTAATAATCCTGGACTCCAAACCAATCTTCAAGTAAGACCTGACAAGATTTCTTCATTAATGAAGGGAATATATCCCCTGCAAACCAAAGCCAACCAATCAAACAAAAAACACAACTCCACAACAGTCTTGCTTGATTTGGTGACAAGTTCTCACTCTAATTCCAACACACGTGGATGCAGGGCCAGGCAACTGGTGAGGAATGAGGCCTAAGCACCTGCCAGTCTGAGCGTGGCTTCAGTCCATATCATATGGCAGTCTCAGTCCCATCAGAACTAGGAGATCAGGAAGGTGCTGACAGATATTCCATGAGAGTCACAGCAAAGTGAGCAGAGTATCTGTATTTCCAAGAGGGCAGGCAGCAAATCAAGTGGTCAGTACCACCAATAAGGCAAAAGCACAACAAAGTTGGACACTCACTAAAAGTTATGTGTAGACCACTTCATATATCCAATAGCGAAGCAAGGCAATCAGAGTACAAGTGATTGTACTATTCGGGAGGCAAGTAAGTACATGCCAGTTATTTCTGAGGTGTCTCATACATTTTTCATAGAGTCGAGATCATCCAATCATATTAAATTATTAAAAATTAATATGAACAGCTGCATTCTCTTATGAATGAGAGTAATTAGCTTTATTTAAAGAACTAATTTCTCTTTTTATCGCCTTAATATATCCTACCTGTATTCTAAATATGCTATTAATATATATCCTCCAAAACCTTCAAATCAACTGAAGAGGTAAATTAACTTCTCCCTATAACTGTCCATTCCAGCTCATGATTCACTATGCTTTCTCCTATAAAAGGGCTCAGTCAGGCCCATCCATTGTACTCATGCCTTTATTTGTGTAGTAAGTCACATTTCTCCAGTCCTTTCACACTGTTCTCTTTCAAAAATGCTTCATAAATTCTATGTGTCCATAAATACTAGTGCTTTCTAATAGTTGCAATAGGCTAGCACCCTCAGTACCTTTAAAACTTCCACTTCACAGGCAGTTATCTTCTGCTTTCTCTTCTCTTCCCCTCAGGGCAATGTCAGATTACTCATGTTCTTAACTCTTCTAATCATGTGAGATGCAAGAAACATAGCCATGTCCTTGGCTCTCTGCTTCCACCTATGGCCAGGACTTTATCCAGGACTTTATTTCTGCAGTTCTCCTCTCTCCCCAGATTACCTTGTTTTCCTTCACTGGACCATCCCCACTCACAAGAAAATATACTTTAATATCAACCACCTTAAATCCTGCACTCCACACATTCCACCCACTCCAGCTTGTTCAATTTTCCTCCTCCTTTCCACGTCGATACCTCTGCAAAGCTTTGATTATACCTACTCCCTCCGCTGCCCAGCTCTCATTTTCTCCTCCATGCATTCCAAGTGGTCTTCATTTTCCTAGAACATTCTCAACCACTTACATACTGTCAAAGCCAGTGGTAAACTGTCCATTCTCCTCTTACCCAATACTCTTATCCGGGTATCTGCCACTCTTATCCTTGGTCCATGGCCAC